AGAAATTTTTTTCCACCTAGTCATAGTTAGAAAGTTTTCAGTGAAAATTCAGAAAGGTCAGAGAAGCTCTCTGAAATCCTCATAGGTGGGCCAAGTATAAAGAAATAGTAGCTAAGTGAAGCAAGCCAGAAAATGAAAGAGAGGCATTGTATGTCCCCACACAATATATACCAAATGTCTGCACTCTATGGAAGAACTGAAATATTGGACAATATAAAGGCATGGAAAGCAACTGTGAATACCAGAGACAGTATGGGAGGAGGGTGGGAAATGGCAGAAGGTAAGAGGGAGGGAATCGAGGAGAAAAAAAGGAAAGGAAGTCAAACAGTTAAACACAAAATGGAAAATTATCTGTTGAAGATAATAATTATGGTAATATCTTTGATTGGACCAATATTCAGTATATTTGGGATGGTAAAATTTATTTTGTATGCTGTAATGATATATAGTGAATGAATATAAAAAGAAAAAAGAGAAATAAGACAGGCAAGTATGTTCTCAGAGTCTCATTAACTGGGAGAGTGTGTTAAGGTGTTGGACGACATAAAAGGCAAAAATGCAATTCTGTGTTATTTGCTTAACAGTACTTTTATATGCACTGTTTGCTACACACGGCAAAATCTAAACAAGTAGATGAGGAATAGAATGGATGATGGAGTTAGTATGGATACATTTCAGTCCACACTTTCCACTTACTAGCACAGTGACCCTTGGCAAGTTATTTAAATCTCTCAAGTCCTTGGTTTTCTCATCTGTAAAATGGGGAGAATGATATAAGATTGTTCTTTAAAAGTTAATAGCATTTCTAAGTACTAACCAAAAGTAAATATTTTCAAAATAGGATGTTATTTATAATAACATTACATATCTTTATCACGCATAGAGAGAATTTATACTATTACTGACTACATTGAAAATCCAAAAGAATCTCTTGACAAAGTACTAGAAATAGAAGGAGAATTTTCCATGGGTCCAGATGTAAGATCAACAGCAATAGAATTGCTACATATAAGCAAACTACTAGGTAGTAGATGTTATTAAAATGATGATCCCATTTACAATAGCATTGTAAAAAATCTTGTCCTTTAAGCTAAATCTGACAAAAGACAGACAGTACTCCTACAGAGAAAATGATAACATTTAATTGATAGACATTTAAAAAAACACTAA